TCACTTTAGATACTTACACCATCTCGCATAAATTTCATAAAAGTTACATAGATGATTTTTCAGGTTATACAATTTTTGCAAGGCTTTCCATCTTCTTTAAAATAAACTACCCCCTGCATCAGGGAAAGTGGGATATTGGCACAGAATGTCCGCCTGTCTTTGTCCTTCATTATCCCCGCATCTTTCTCTAAACCCTCGGATTATAGGGAAACATCTGCTTCCCTGCACGTCCACATAAATCTCAATCCTCTCCATGTCCTCTTCCTTCTCTACATCACTCTGCCTATAGGACGCTTCATTTTATCACAGCCAAGACGATGGCTAACCAGGAGTAAAGGTGAGAGCGGGTGCCTCAGTCAGTAAAGCCCAGTTACAACATTCTCACATCACTAAAACAAAGGCTGGACAGAACTACTGAACATAGATTTAGTGACTCAGCGGATTTAACCTTACTCTAATTTCTTTATAGTCGACTGTACTCTGCCAAACTGATCAGTGTAACATTAGGCATATTTATATTCAACACCAGCTTTAACAATACAGAAAACAGTTAAAGCAATTTAAGCCTCAGAGATTTATAGGAGATGCGCAAGGAGGACAACGTTTGCTCTTTAAGAAAAACATGAAGGCCAGAGTGGAAAAACGACCAAAGACCAAGAAGTCAACGTTCTCTGGACAGTCTGAGGGAACATGTTTGGTATGAGGCATTTCAGGAAAATAGCCTCAACGCAATAAAGCCAGGATTCTTTTTTCTCCAATGGCTCTAATCCTCTTAAATATTTCTAACAGGGCTGGGCGATATGAACTTAAAGTTTTATTGCAAAATATTGTAATAAAACTTTCTATAACGATAGAAGTGAGTAAAGAAATGTGATTTGTTTCACTAAACTGCAGTCACCAACTTTATTTTCAAATTTATTGGTATTTATTGAAGCTTTTATTGAATAAACAGTGGAGAAAATAGTAAAACTATTAAACCTGACAATAAAGACAGTTTTGGAGGGTTTAAACATCTTTAATTGGAAATTATTGTGACAATGATAAATCTATATTCTTATGATAAAAAAATGTGTCACGATATATAATAAACAATACGATAAATACCCATCTGTAATTTCTAATTTTAATTTCTTTAGAAGCTATAAGTGACCAAAGAATACTTTTGTCCTTAATAATTTACAGCTTTTAAAAAGAAATCTAAATTGGTGTCAGCAGTCTCAAGTTTTAGGAAACTGTAGACAGGAAATCATTCACAGAAATCCCTGACTGGAGATGGTGGCAGTGAGCCAAGTTAGTTTGGTGAGCCAGTGAGAGTTTGGACGGCATGCTTTCTCATATGTCATAATTTTGTTTGATGACTATAATTAGAACTCAAATTAAAGCGCGCCGCGCAAAAGAAAACCATCTGCCTCAAGCAGGGCCGAAGAACTCCGGGGTGTCGCACCAAACCACAGCAACTTGGCTCCAGTACGACTTCAAAAAAACAATAACTCACCTCTCAAGACTAAACCAATTCTTTAATGAGAAAGAGTGATTCATTTTGTTTCCTTGATCAGGAATATTTTTAAGTAAACATCAGCTGTGCACTCTGCCAAGAAGCCGCCGAGTGTGAATTCCCACAGCTCCTGTTCTGCCTTCCCAAACATTTCCTCAAGACATCACTGAGGACGATTCTGTCCACGCCGTCTTTTCTCTGCGGCAGCGCTCCTCGAGGCTGATGTGTGGCTCCCGTCTCTTTGGGTTGAGACAGCTTGACACCGTCAGCAGTTCCTCATTCTTTTCGGCCGCCACCAAGAAAGCCTAAATATTGCCTCTTACTTTTTTTTCCCTCCCCCTCTGACGCGGGAGAAAAAAATATTCCACTTTACCCTTCAGCTTTTGTCAGACGCCTTTCATCCACCTCCGTGCTGCCCTGGCGCCGATGGGATGCAGACTAAGCTAAGCTGATTATTTGCAGGTGGAAAAAAATAAAAACATAAAAATATCACCACCTTTGCAACCTCGTTCCTCCGTTACTGACAACAACTGCTGACTCTTTGCTGTTCACAGCAGTCGGTTCGCCGTCTCTGCGTGTTTCAGCACAACAAACTGTCATCGGCAGCAAGCACAACATGACTGCCATTCCCTCTTGGCTGGGCAGCACTCACGCTGCTCTCATCAACATGACGCATCATCAAAATTTGACAACACGCCCCGTTTTCCTGCCTTCGGATCCAGAAAGAACATTTATCTCCCGTTTCTGAGAAGTTCCTCATCGTTCCTTTCACTGAATATGTTACATGTTGGCTCACGAGGAATTTTGGGTGTTATGTGTATGCAAAATTCATTTTACGCTTAAAAAAAAGAAAAAAACGTTTAATATGGTGGACAGGTTTGTGTTAAAAATGCACCGATCAATCAGCCACTGATCGCAATCAGACGATATTTTTCTCAGATCTGCTCTGATTAGTTATTGGTTGGTTAAAAAGATTTTTAAAAATGTATTTCTTTTCTCCAATCCTTTAAATGCTGTTTGTGGAACCTGAAACCTGCCTTGATTGATAAATGGGAATGTTTCTGTAATTCCTTTCACTTACTTACTTAATCTCACTTGGATTCAGAACTGCTACGACTGTTCAACATGCAGCAAACTTTTTATTTTCTCTTTTATGTGATATGATCGTGTAAAATCCCCCCCAAAAAACAGAAATCGGTATTGGTCTGAAGGTTAACACACATTCTTGTTTTATTCTATGAATACAGAAGTTGCTCAATAGGCAGAAGTTTATCTTGTCACTGGTGGGTTGCTAGTTCAAACCTCAGCTCTGTCCTTCTCAGTTATTCTGTCACCTCATTTGCTTTATATGTCGGTGGGGGCTAACATGTAGCTTCTGGTTTTATTGCTTTGTTTTTTTATTTTCATAAAGACTTGCAATTTGCTCCTATAAAATCCTCTAAACCATATCCTGTAAATGAATAACTGTTCTAGTTTTCTGTCATAAAATTTAACATCCAAGATGAACAATGGAGGCCCGTACGATGCGGGATTGAGTTTTAGATTATTTCTCTGAGTCCTTGTGACTGACGTCTGAGTGAACTTCCTCGGACAGCCGCTCCCGCAGAGACCGACAGGCACAGCTCGACAGAAAGACGAACGCCGCAGCAGCATGAATTATTTAGAGAAGATGGTCAAGATAACTCTTTCTTCACGGTCCTTTATAACGTCTTTTCTTCTTTATGCGTTATTAACACACGTCTGAGGGGTTCCAACCAAAAGCTGAGCACAGCTTGTGTTTTTACAGAAGAGGCTACAGAGTTGCTGATGATTAAGTTAGTCAACATGCTGGACTTCCAGTTCTACAAAACTTTCCTAACTCTTATGAAGTAAGTAGCTCCTCAACTTTTCTAGCACTGCTTATGCATTTTGTTTTTGATTTTCCAACACCTGGTAGGAACCAGATGGTTTATCACTAGGTTCTGTTATGTATTTATGATTTTAGGAGTTTATGACTGATAAAGTTAATTAAAGATGATTAGCAAAGGATAGAAAGGGGAAAATGATCATTGGAGCTGAGAGTTGTATGAATTTCAGAAAAGTTAAAGCCATACTTGTATCAAAATGATAATTTGATTAAACGTACTGTACCCCAACCTTAACAACAGACTAACAACAATAATAATAATGCTCTCATATGAAGGTAATAAAAAAATGAATGCTTCATTTGAAGCTGTTCTATATAATTCTGTTAATAAAACCCAACATGTCAACAGTCAAAACACTCCAACATCCAGCGACACAAATATAGAAGATTTTCCTTCCTTAAAACTAACAGTCTTGATTGAATTATTTTAGAAAACAACTGGAATAATAATAATAATAATAATAATAATAATAATAATAATAGATAGTAAATTGATAAAAGAGGCTGCTAAATATCACCAAATATCTATAATGGAACACAGAGAACAATCTGTGTAAACCTTTATTCCACTGAATCAAAGTATTTCTGAACAAAGTGAATCCTGAGCATTAAGGTGATGGCAGGCTTTCAATGGAATGACGCGTTTACTTATACGGTGCCTTGCAAAAGCATTCATACCTCTTGAAAGTTTCGACACAAACTTTGACCTGTTTTATTTGGATTTTATGCGACAGACCAACACAAAATATGAGGGGGAGCAAAAAAAGATGCATTGTTTTCTAAATTGTTTATGAATGAAAAATGAAAAACAATCTGAAATGTGTCCAATGTCTTCAGAAGAGACTTAATTTAATAGAGTTTCTGTGTCTGTAGTTCAGTGCCAATATATTCTCAGTTTCAGAAATTTGTTCAAGAATATTAGAGAGCAAACAGCATAATGAAGAAACACAGCAGGACAGCTCAGGGTATAAAACAATATGCCAAGTTGGGCTGAACAGCAAATCAATTTTAAACAAAATTTCTGTTTTTGAAGATTTAATTCTGGAAAAAAAAAATTGTGAAAACAAATATCGTCCAGCAATAAATTTTTCACATACCCATTATAGATGGAAAAAATGTAGCTAATTAGCTAGCTAGCAGGCTAACCTTTTTCATAGCTCAAAAGGCAGCTAGCTTTTTAGTTGCCTTTTTTCATAGCCAGTTAGCTAGCTTCGTAGATAGCTAGCTCAAAGAATTTGCCTTAGCTAGCTAGTAAAGGTATATTAGCAGCTTGTTAGTGGTAGCCTCAACCCCCTCTGGTCATGAATGCCTGACAGAAAAGTCCCGCCAGAAAAAAAAATAAAAAATTATATGAAATTAAATAGTCCTGCCACTGCAGGACGCATTTAGGGCTAACTTAAATTGTTTTATGAATTTAAAACATTTTAAGGCCTTTATTTTACATACGTAAATTTAAGACCATTTAATTCCTTTTAGATACATAAATGTAATGATTTCTATGGATGCGCTTACACGCTGTAGGAAAATATAACCCTGCAGATGTCTTTGCCACAGATAAAAGCAATCATATTTAAGATGTGGATAAATGTAGCACCTTACCTTGATCCTTGGCATGGTGACAGTGGGAGGTCTTGCCTTGGCCACGAAGCTGTGGGACGAGCCTTTCTCCACCAGGTACCGGGTGTAGGGCATGTGGGACCCCCCGGAGGGTCCAAACACGAAGTCCTCTCGGAGTGCATCCACCACCATGAGAACGACCCTCCTGAACAGGGGCTGGGGCAGGCGGGTGGAGTTGGGAGGGCTTCCTGTGAGGTGAGAACATCTCAGATGAGCTTGACCACAATGACATTAAACAGGTAGGTAAGTAGGTAGGGGAAGGGTGATGCTGGGGGCTCTCACCTGCCAGCGGCTCCGCGGGTAAATCCGACAGCCTGCTCTTGGATGAGAAAGAAGACTTGACAGGAACAGGGAAGAAGCCCCTCAGGAAGAGGGCAACGCCGAGCACTTCAAATATTAAAATGAAGCAGGCGAACACAGACGAGCGGACTCTCATGGTGGTTTACTGAGCGACTAACTTATCTGAATGGGGACAACTCGCTGACGACACATAGGAGCTGCAGCTGCCACGCATCATAGGGACAACCCGACAAGCTGCGTGTTACCCCGCAACATGTCCGTCTCTCGGGAAAAGTAGCAAACAGTCGATGTTTATACGTATTTTTGGGATAGAAACACTAATACCAGTTAGCAATGTAGCCATTCATTTTAGCTTCCGCGTTGATAAACTACGGAAAGCGAGAAAACCAAACAAGACCAACGCGCTTATTAAAAGAACACTTGGGTTATGTTTTTGTTTGCGTCAGCCAGAACAAATGCATTAAGCAGGTACAGAAAGGGATTATTGCCACTGTAAAATAAATACATAATAATAATTTGGCTTTAATCCCAGGAGCCAGATTTTTGTCATAATTTCAGAATTTTCTGACTTTTATCTCACAATTTAATGTCAGATGAATCTGATTTTAATCCGAGAATATTCCGACTTCAGTCTCATAATTTGGATTTTTCTGCCCTCAGAATTCTGATTTTAATCTCAGAATTTTCTGACTTTTATTTTAAAACTATGAATTTGATCTCAGCAGGAAAACTAACTTCCTGGATGTACATGTCAGATTTAAAAGACCTGTTACGTGGCAGAGGAAGTCAAAGCATGATATTAATCTCAGAATTCTGAGAAAAAAGTAAGGAAATCTAAAACTATGTCTATTCATTGTTCAAAGCAGTGCCCATTTCAGTTGTGGCGTTTTGCATATTTTATGTCTTCCATGTTCAATAAACCTGATTTAAACATGGGCTCTCTGCAAAAATTGTGACAACCCGAAGAAGTGATTCAACTGTCAGAAACTAGGAGGATTTGCATTGGGCACCACAGATCTAAGGTTTTACGATGATGAAATGGGGAAAAAAAATTAAAAAAAAATGTTATCCTATAATATTAAAGTTTTGTTCTGAACTTAGAGGAGAAAGAACAAAGAATATCTAAAGTTTACCTTGTAAAAAAAAAAAAGGGGGGGGGGGGGGGGGAAATAGTGAAAAAAACTGCTAGAAAAAAAAAACCCCCGAGTTGATAGATCGTCTG